AGCACAGAGACCCAAAAAAAAAACAAACAATCACAAACAGACCAACACACAACACAAACACACACAATCAATTTAATTTTAGTATTGCGAAACAAGGTGATTCCTGAGTTTTTTGGTAAAAGACCTCACGGAAGCTGAGTTTAAAATTGGGGATGGTAAATTACCTTTTCCAAGGCCTTCGAAAAAATTGATAGTATTGAAATGGGACGATAGTTAGAAAGGTCAGATTTGATGCCTGATTTGTAATTAGGGGTGACGCGTGCTAACTTCATCCTGTCTGGGAACACACCGTTAGTTGGGGCAACGTTAAATATGACATACTGGACGAGAGATGAGATTAGCAATATATTTGATGGCTTTAGTATGGAAGTCATCAATACCTGGGGATTTGTTGGTTTTAAAAGAGGCAAGTATTTTGATCACTTCAGCCTCATCAACTGGGGTACGAAATATAGAGTTATGGGTTGGACTAGGAAGAAAGTCTTCGAATGAGTTGTTAACATTGGGGATTTTGTTAGAAAAGGAGGGTCCAATTTCGACAAAAAATTTGTTTAAAGCATTAGAAATTATATCAGGATCATTGGTGAATTCATTGTCACAGTAGAAGGAGGTACTTGATTGCTCCCTACTTGTTTTATTGATTAAAGAATTAATGGTTTTCCAAGATGCCTTGATATCATTTTTATGTTTAAGAAATGTATTTTGGAAAATTTTTTTTTTGTATTTTTAATAATATAGTTTAATTTATTGCGAAACTCTTTGTAAGCTCTTTCATTTTTAGTAGAGGGGCAATGAAGAAATTTAGCATATAATTTCTGTTTATACTTGACTCGATTTCAGCAAACCATCGGACATCCATGGTTTAATCTTACTCAGCTTTTTGGGAGAATTTTGTAGAGGAAAATGTTTATCGAAAATTTTCTTTAATGTGGTTACAAAATTAGAATATGCTTTATCAGGGTCCTGACTACTTATAACTTTAGCCACTGTTGTATGGACATGTTTTGACGGAAATTTTCTAAGGTGGTGGAATTAATTTTTCTAAATTTAAAACTCTCTTCCTTATTTGAGCCACTTACAGCACGTGAAAAATACGAGATATTAAAAACAGGGAGATGATCAGTTATGTCACTATAAATTAATCCGCTCAGATTAGGAAAGTCTAATTGATTAGTAATGATATTATCTAATAAGGTAGCTGAGTTAGATGTGTATAAGAGACCACTTCTGAGTTGGCTAATAGGTAACCCCATATCCCCATGAACCTGGTTTATATGAGCCTGACTAGACCTGGTTTGGGCCTAACTAGACTATCTCTTGCTCCACTTTTTACGCGGTCCATGAGTGTGGAAATAACACAGTATCACAAAAGACAACCTCAGGTAAAAGCATGCATTACATCATTGATTGTGAAGCTAAGAATACATATCAAATGACAAAATACAAGCAATTATTAATGATACACCATTGAGTTTAGTGATATGAATGACAACTGATAACAATATTTCAATTTGCTACAGTTCATAAAATAAGATCAGTCAGGACAAAAATAATATTAATCTGAAATGATTCAACTACATTGTATAAAGTATATTTTCTATGGCAACGATAAAAAAAGTAAACATTTTTTAAATTAAAATAACTGTACATTAAATGATCAAAGAATTTCAATTTTTAATGCGGCGTACATGGAAACAATTCAGTTTTCACTGATTGAAAGTCTTTTTACTGCTGTAGATGTACAAAACTAGCTAGTTCTATAAAAGGGAAACCTTGATGATGTAGAGGGAATTTAAATCTTATTTTACTTAAAATGAACAAAACAAAACTTTAATCTAGTTTTAAAGGTGAGATAATATAATAGATGACAACGGCACTTTTAAGACTAACTATTAAATTGATTAGCTCTAGCTTTCGTCCACATCAGTAAACTATCGGCATGAGTCTACTGTATGGACAAATCTAGAGCCAGACCGGGGCCTTTTTTGTCTCAGTCGCCAATAGTGGGCTTTTAGATTTGCTCATTTTTAAAATTATTTTATGTCATAGTGTTTTAATGACGAAATAAATTATATGATATCAGTGGCAGATACAAAAATTTGAGGGGGCTATTTCACAGATGGAGGGTCTATACCACCTCACAGACAAAATTTGAATACAATTGTTTTGTCTCCACTTTAATCTGTCACTGGATATATGTCTTACAGTCGATGTCAGAGACACAATATGCTGTTATGTACCAACAAAGCTTTTTTGCATCAGGGTGCTAGGGCATGGACCTATGGGAGAAGCCCTGCGGCTCCTAGGACCTGCACGACAGCGCATAGGCGTTACACAACTGGCTAGAGATAATAAATGTTACAGCCAATCTTAAAAGTGGTGTTGTCATTTCTTATATTGTTCTACAGCAGACTAACAAGTCTACATACATTATTCATCATGATAAGAAGAGGTACTGTATACAGTTGATGGTGAAAAAGCACTACTGTATGATAAATTTTAAAAACCATACCTTGCATACACAACCATGACAATCATGATCGTTGCATCTACAACAGCCTTGATGAGGTCGGTATAAGAATTATTGATTAGATTCGATATCACTGAATCTCCAGGACCACAGAATGTTTTGTTGTATTTGTATTGTGTCCTGCCTGTCTCCGGGTTAACACCATTCGGTATCTCATCTGGAAGTAGAAAGTGAAGATGGAAACAAAATATAAGGTTATATCTTACTTTTTAAAATTTATATATTTAGGCACATAACACATGCACCAAAATTGTCAATAGCGAATATATCACTGTCCTACTTCAATTCAAAAGTCAAAAATACATTTATTTTCTACCATTTGCAGTTAAATAACAGAGGTCATTAAAAACGATGGGTTTATGAAACAAAATCAAAAGGAAGAAGGCACTTGCCCGAGAAAATTCAATTAAAAAAAATCTTGTATTTGGCAGGCCTGAACACAAAATCACAAAAGCACACAGAGACCCAAAAAAAAAACAAACAATCACAAACAGACCAACACACAACACAAACACACACAATCAATTTAATTTTAGTATTGCGAAACAAGGTGAATCCTGAGTTTTTTGGTAAAAGACCTCACGGAAGCTGAGTTTAAAATTGGGGATGGTAAATTACCTTTTCCAAGGCCTTCGAAAAAATTGATAGTATTGAAATGGGACGATAGTTAGAAAGGTCAGATTTGATGCCTGATTTGTAATTAGGGGTGACGCGTGCTAACTTCATCCTGTCTGGGAACACACCGTTAGTTGGGGCAACGTTAAATATGACATACTGGACGAGAGATGAGATTAGCAATATATTTGATGGCTTTAGTATGGAAGTCATCAATACCTGGGGATTTGTTGGTTTTAAAAGAGGCAAGTATTTTGATCACTTCAGCCTCATCAACTGGGGTACGAAATATAGAGTTATGGGTTGGACTAGGAAGAAAGTCTTCGAATGAGTTGTTAACATTGGGGATTTTGTTAGAAAAGGAGGGTCCAATTTCGACAAAAAATTTGTTTAAAGCATTAGAAATTATATCAGGATCATTGGTGAATTCATTGTCACAGTAGAAGGAGGTACTTGATTGCTCCCTACTTGTTTTATTGATTAAAGAATTAATGGTTTTCCAAGATGCCTTGATATCATTTTTATGTTTAAGAAATGTATTTTGGAAATTTTTTTTTTTGTATTTTTAATAATATAGTTTAATTTATTGCGAAACTCTTTGTAAGCTCTTTCATTTTTAGTAGAGGGGCAATGAAGAAATTTAGCATATAATTTCTGTTTATACTTGACTCGATTTCAGCAAACCATCGGACATCCATGGTTTAATCTTACTCAGCTTTTTGGGAGAATTTTGTAGAGGAAAATGTTTATCGAAAATTTTCTTTAATGTGGTTACAAAATTAGAATATGCTTTATCAGGGTCCTGACTACTTATAACTTTAGCCACTGTTGTATGGACATGTTTTGACGGAAATTTTCTAAGGTGGTGGAATTAATTTTTCTAAATTTAAAAATCTCTTCCTTATTTGAGCTACTTACAGCACGTGAAAAATACGAAATATTAAAAACAGGGAGATGATCAGATATGTCGCTATAAATTAATCCACTCAGATTAGAAAAGTCTAATTGATTAGTAATGATATTATCTAATAAGGTAGCTGAGTTTTTCGTGATACGAGATGGTCTGTGGATGCGGGGTAGATAATGATTGCCAAAAAAGGAGTTAACCAAGCAGCGGGCACCGTTATCTGACTCATGCTTCAGAATATCAATATTGAGGTCTCCCATAATGTTGACAGTTTTGTTTTCTCTTGATAGTTTAGAAAGGACAGTGTCAAGTTCATTAGTAAATTGAAAAGGGTCAAGGGAGGGGGATCTATACACGGTTCCGACGACAATGTTTTGCAATGTCTTGTAATCTCAATAAAAATTGATTCACAGTTAGAGGGGATAAGACAGAGGTCATGTCTAGTAGAAAATTGGAGACTACCATGAATATACATGGCTACTCCATCACCGTCTTTGAGTGTTCTATGGTTGGAGACAAAATTATAATTGGGAAGCTGTACCAGGGGATTGTCATACTTGAGCCAGTTTTCGCTCACTCCAATTATATCAAAAGGTAGTTTAAGCGAAGTTAAAACGTGTTTCATTTGATCACAATTTTTTTTAAATGTTTCTAGAATTGAAATGAATGGTACAAAAAATATCATTTGACGTTTTTGTGATAGGGAACTCATCAGGGTGCTTTGTTTGTTATTAGAAAAAAAAATGAGGATCGGGATCTATATTGGATGTAAAATCATCTGAATTGTTTATGAAGGAGGTAAAACATAGGTTGGATAATCGATCGGGACTCGTGGTGCTGTTACAACTACAATTAACATTGGACATAATAAAACATACAAAAAATAAAAATCAGTCAAAAGAAAAATACAATTTAAATAGCAACTGTTACAAAAAAAAATTTTGGGAGTCAGAAGGACCAAAAAATATAACTTGTAAGTGACAATCCCTTAAAAAATACATACACACTTGATGCTTTATATCAACTAAATCTCAATATGAGGTTTAAGTATTGAAGTTGCTTTAGGCTAGGTTCTCACACGGCAGCTAATGGTTAGCAGGATCCGGATCCTGCTAACCGTTAGCTGCCGTGCTTCCATGCGAAAAAATCCCAATCCGGATACCAACAATATGATGATCGAATCACTGGCCAATAAGAAACTGGAAATTGTAAACGCGTACGTGTGATTAGTTGATGATAGAAACGCCCTCAACTTGCTAACCGTATCCGGATACCGCTAACCGATCGGGCGTTCTAACGGTTAGCGCTAACGGTTAGCGCTAACAGTTAGCTCCTGATCCGGATACTAGGGCTCTCGTGAGAACCAGGCAATAATCATAAGAAAAATCCTGCACCACTGACAGGAATTGAACCCAGGACCCTGGAATTGGAAAGCAAGCATCTTAACCACCAAACTATTCAATGAAAATATAACATAGATCAGACATACTAGTCAAATAATAGTAAATAAAACACTGGAAATTGTAGTACTGTATTTTAAAGACTAGTTTAATTTGACAATACATTAGCTTTTGAACAAAATGCTCTCCCCAGGTACAAGTGGCTATTTAAAAAACTTCATATCAACATATTAAATCTCCATGTAGGCTGGAAAATATTGTAAATACACCACAACTGAACTCCACTATTCAACAACAACATAGCTGAGTTGGGAAGACACATTCACCTGAAGAAGTGCACTGTATACACAAAAGATAGTATATATTGTCAATAAAACTGGTCTTTAAAATACTTCATGTGTTCTATTTACTGAGCTGGGAGTGGTTTTTGTGAATAATCAAGTACAATTGCCAATTGTTGTGCATGTGTGTGGGTGTGTGTTTTGGTATGATTATCTAACAACTTCACTGTAGGAAGGTTATGCACAGGAAAAGTAAGGGAAAACTACAAATACATTATTAAATGAATAGATAATATATTCATACATGCCAAATTTTACCATTAGGTGGTGGCTCAATGTGGTTAAAAAAAAAGAAAAAAGAAAAGCTGTAACCTGTATCAAATGAATCAACTTCATTACGACTGGTGGCTTTATGGTAGGTCTAATGGCCAAGCACTTAAGGCAGGGGCACCGCAACGTACAGCCATAATATTGGCGCTGGTTTGAACAGCACGCTCGCCTCTGAATCTGGAACAAGTTCTTCTGATAAGGACTATAATAAAACGTAGGCCCAGTGTACACAATTTGGCTCATGTGCACTTTAAGGAACCCAGTACATCTTTCGAGACGAGTTGGGGGTTGCTCCGTTGTCTGTTCCATATGGCTGTGGACTGACAAGACTAGTTTAACTATGAGCTAGTCTACACCTGGAGCGCTTTAAAAATCAAACTACATTACATTTCATATAGAATCACTGCAGTATTACCTAATGTCAGGGGTTCATCAAATTTCACCCTTCCCATAAACTTACCTATGACAGGTGGCTCTATGGACATAGCTGTCCAGGTGAGGTAGATGATGTAAAGACTGATTATGGACGATTGCAAGAGGCAACAATCTGACTGTTCTGAAATATAACAGTTTGATATAAAAATATTAGATTTACTATCATAAATTAACATATATTTTATTTCATACATTTATTCTTTTTTATTAGAAAGGCTAGTCAGCAATTGTCCCACAGGGTAAAATACTAAAAGGAAGAGAACAATAACAACATACAACTACATCAATCACAAAAACAACAATAGGAAATCACAAATTAAAATGTAGAAAAAATGAATAATAATAAAAAAAAAATATCAGCAGTAAGATTGAATATTGTATTGTATAACATCATCATCACCTTCCTACAATGATCTCATCACATTATTTTTACATTACAACTACTAATAATACCATTATCACATTACCATGATCACTATCAAATTACTAACAATGACCATAACAAACACCATCATCATTTTGTTCTTTCGTACAGAAAACATAACTCATGTCTACAATATATCTTCACACTTGGAAGATCTTGGATCTTTCATAGTATACATATTATATCTTTACAATTAAATTGACTGAACCTATTGATCTCATGTATCTGTTGATTCACCATTAAAACATGCACACTTAAAACGATATAGCTGGTAGATTAACGGCCTTAAAGCACTGTGAGACACCAGTAAAGAGTGCTTAATAAACTCTAAATATTATTATTATTATTATTATTATTATTATTATTATTATTATTATTATTATTATTATTAATATTATTATTATTATTACCTTTTCAAGTTCATTGACCATTCAAATATATGTAATAACAGGCCATACAGTAAGACACTTTACATAACATTTTAATAAAAGCAATTGGAAATCATTAAAATTTGAATTACTCCATTGTAGTTTACTGAGTGACAGTTAGCATAGAACCAGGTCACCTGTGAGTCTTATACGACAACAACTTCACTCAATGTTTTTTCAATAACATTCTCAGTAACACAAACTCTTGCAGAATTTCAAAATTCACCACATGAGAGTTTCATTTCCTTGAGGCTATGACGACAATCTGAAGAAATTAATCGCAAAATTTAATGTATCCTATATCTGTGTGCAGATGGCTGACGATGTCATACTCATAATTAATAGTGATACTGCTGGGACAGATTTGAGAACATGCTGTTGTTTCGTAAATTAGACTTCTTGTTACGGTTCCAATAATGTGACAAGGTGTTTGCCAAGAAATAAAAAAACAAAGTTTTTATTGTAAAGTGTTCTTTTTATAGCTTAACTATAATTCCCCTTTAAAATCTTTACAACAATCTTTAGAAAGTGTTTACTATAATACGAAGTAAGGAAATAAAAATGAATTTCAGTAACTGAACTTTTGACTTTTGAAACAGGAATTGCCAAGTTATGGATTGAAGGGGGCATTTCACTACTCTGAACGTATTTTAGATTTCACAAAATTGTGATGAAATATCAAATCAGGTAACTGTATAAATACTGTAAGATCATTGGCTGGCAATAAACTTAATGATTTTAATACAGAGTATGTTTCATTTGAAGTTGATGACTTATTTACTAATATTAAATCTAGCCATTTAAGACAAACCCGTTTTTGGCAGCCATTAACTAAACAAATACAATTGGCATTTATACTTTCATGTTTAAGTTAAGCATTGAATTGTATTTTTAATGCTCTGAAATAGCAAAATGAAGTTAAGATTGTTATTTCATTTCATTTCAATATTTTTATTTCAAAATCAAATCGACATACAAGTAAGAAAATAGTAAAGTTTTAAAAATAAAATTAAAGCATGTCTCATTGAAAATGAAAAAAGGTAAGCAAAATAGGCGAATGAAAAATACAAATGCCTTAAAGCATGCTTTCCTTAAGAAAAAAAAAATGGTAAAAATAGTGATAATAAGCAGTAGAGGTGCTAGTGTCGGGTCCAGGTGACACAGGACCCAGAGTCAGAGAATCAATGATCCTCCCAGAAAGAGAACACTGCTTTAAAATACACTGTTTGCTATTTTTGGGCATTTTTCCTATTCTTAAAATTTGCTACGAAAAGTATGGGGCCGAGGTGAATTTGGACCCTGTGCCGGGGAACCTTGACCACTTGTTGGAGATCTTGTACAATGTGTTGCAGGACTTGGACCCCTCATCAGGAATAATGCTGAGTGTCCCTTTGTGTTTCGTAAACTATTGGTGTTTAATTCTATTTATGGTATGGCAAAGCAATTAATCTTTTTATCGTTGGCAATATTTTTGTATTAAAGTAACAGATTGACATTGCTCACTTAATCCAAGTTTTCATAGTATGACAAATAAATTTGGCACAGAATTCATTCTTTAATTGCTTTCACGGAAATGTATTTTAATTGAATTTTGATAAAGTTTAATGCTTTCCTTTAGAGCCACAAAGAAGAAAGGAAGGGGGGAGGAGGGGGAAAAGTATTTGCCAATAATATTAGCTATATCACACCATCTTTTATACAGAATACAGAACTATTATTGGTGTAGTGAAAGTAAAAGTACATTACAAGAAATTACTTCGCAGTTGGCAAACCATAAAAAAAAAATCACTACAGAATACAGTACAAAATTTAAAAAGGTATACAATATTTGAAAAACAACAAAACATAAGCAAAGATAAAAAAAGTGGTACATTAAGGTTAGTTACTAATAATAATAATAATAATAATAATAATAATAATAATAATGATTATGTAATGATTGAAATTTGTACAGTATCACTTTATTTGATTTCATTCTCATTAAATGAGTGGTGAAAGCAGAGAACCAAGGGGAAATTTTCTAAGAAGCATAGATTCCTGGTCGCTGGACTAAAAATTATGATTTCTTGATTTTGACAATCAAGATCTGAAATCTCTTTGTGGCAAGCTGGATTCGCCTCCTAAACCCCACCTCTGGGTTTTTTTCAGTGACCCACATAGGCTATAGGTGGCCCCTTGGTAAGGACTTCCCCGTCTGACTGGTGGAGACCATGTTTAGCTAATTTTTGGAGCCATTTTATGGCTTCATTCCAATTTTATATTTGTAATAATATTATGCACATCACTTTGATTATAGCCTCCATATAGGTTCCTGTGTTGCTTATTATTATTATATAAGTGTAATTGTTTAGAGTTGGCTCACAGCCAGCCTTACATAAGTATAAACACTGCCTCATTTGACAGCATTATGCATGTCATAAAATCACATTTATGGGAAAGATTAGTTTGTGTATGTCTGACTCCATGTAAAGGCTTTTTGTTAATTTTATGTACAGAAGTACTTAAAGTAATTGAAAGTATTAATCTAAAAAGTCTCATTATTAGACTTTATAGCTAGAGAAATTGTTGTTGCCATGAGAAAAATTCAAGATTTTCACAGTGTTAGGTCCTTCTCTAGGGTTTTAATCAAGAATTGTGGAAATGAAGGCAAGTAGCTTAACTACTGTACCAAAGCTACTGATCTAACATAATAGTGGTTTGGCGCAGCGGGAATGGTTAGGTTTCCCAACCTTGAGGTCGGGGTTTCACTCCCTTCCTGTCCGTTTCACTTGTGTCCTTGAGCAAGGCACTTTGCACTGCTTCTCTCCACCCAGGAGTATAAGTGGTAACCTGGTAGGGCATAATGCCAAAATGCGCTGATTAGCTGATGCAACATGAAATGATACTCCCCCGGGGAGCTGAGTTTGTGTTCCAACAGGCATTTAATCCAATGAGTGGATGATAATGTGAAGTGCATATTATAATTATTGAGGGAGCAGCTTAGCACAGTCGGCTAATCTGGTGGTAGCCACTATGTGTGCGATCTCTAGGTCCCGGTTCAATACAAAAACAAAAATACAAGTTACAATAGTGCACTGTCTTTCGGATGAAAGTACACTCCATGTGCAGTACACTCTGCGGAAAAGAGAAGGGGAATGTCTCCCGGTGTACTGCCCAATCACCACGAGAAGGACCCCACTTGTCTTCTTCTAGACTTTCGTAGGCTATTCTTGGTGTTTACACTGAATAAATTCAATCAAATCCAATCCTATCATTATTATTATTACTATTACTACATATTCTGGTTGACAAGGAAATAAGAAACAAAATAATGATTAATTTGAACAAGAAAAAATCAATTTGCAATTATTAAATTAAACTATATTGTATTATCTTTATATGATGACGGAAAAATAGTGTTTCAAGAGCTTAAGAACTCAACCAAAACTAATTTCAGTTGCTAAACTAATTAGAGTGATTCACAGGATAAAAGCAATAACTTAAAAAATGTAAATTTCCTTTTCTATCAAGATTTACAAATTAGTCCTAATAGATTTTTCAGGAAGTTTCCTTAACAACCAAATTTACATAAAAACTTCTTTATAGAGTAGCTTTTTTAACAGACCTGTTTTATAAAATGAAATCAAGTGATTGTTTAGGATATACCTGTTTTACACTGTTTAGATTTATACTGTATCAAATAGTTTATCAATCAGTAAATCAATCAATTAATCAGTCAATTTATCAGTTAATTAGTAGTTTTCTTAAGGAACATCTAAAACACACAAACAATTATAATGCTCTATCCTAATTATGAAATTTGTAAATATCCACAAAAAATAAAGCCAATTGATATTAAAGTTAATTGTTATCATTGATATTATTATACTCATTATCATATTCACTATCATTAACATCACATTATTATGATTAACAATTACCCTGGCCTAAGGCCTCCAGTCTGGGTCCCTCAGTATGTCTTTTACGTGGTCAAGGAGAGATTTTATGCTTTAGAATTGTACAAATTGGGCATTTTGAACTCCCATCAAAATAACTTTGGTTAGATCGGAAAACAAATATTTTAAATTTTAAAGTGGCATTCGATGACACAAGGTCCATGCTTGCCTGAGAAGTGAAATTTATGGCCAAATCAGTCTTAGAAATATATATTTAAATTAATTAATTTCTTTAGATCTTTCCTTTTAGTGAAACATACAGTCAAAACCATTATAACATCAGAATACAGTGGACCAAAACTTACTTTTACGAACGCACGGTAACATCATCAGTAGCGTAAGAATTAAACAGATTGCTGAGTTGATTATAATGAAGTACAGGTTCATTGTACAGTGCTTGTCAAGAGCAAACTGTGTAACGAGTATGTATATACCAACAATTACACCCAAGTAGAATATGATAATAAAAACACTCAGCACTGAAAAAGAAAATGAAACATGTTAAATTGAATGCAAGTATTTGTGGCTCCTTTTCTCTCATAAGTACAACAAAATGTTGTTGTTATAATTTTGACATCATCATGTTTTTCATTTTCATAAAATAGTACACGTATTTATTGATCCCCTCCCGCTAGTCTATGCTGTAACTTATTAAATTACAAATATGCAAATATAAACTTACAGATAAACCAAAGAATAGTGTTGTTATTTTTCATTTTTTCAGACCTAGCGAAAAGAAAAAAACAAAGTAAAGCATAACCTTAAATTTTAAAGCTGTTTTTTTTTTTGTGGTCAAAACCTGTTTTAGTAAATTAGAATAGGTAGAGATACAATTTTACCCGAAAAAAATACAATTTAATGTCTTAAAAAAAAGGGAAGAAAAAAGGAAAAGAAAGGTAAGATAATATAGGACCTGTCTCTTATACACATCTAGATGTGTATAAGAGACAGGGGTGTTGTGAGTCTGGTCATTATGATATCTTCCTTTTTATTCTTGTCTTTATTTTTCTCTTCTCTTTTTCTTTCCTTTTCTTTTCCTCTTCTTTCTCTTTCCCTCCCTCTCCCCTCTTTCTTTTCTCTTATTACACAGCCCAGTACAACGGCTTGGTCAGCCCGGTAAAAACCGTCAGGGGAGGGGCAGTTTCCCCCTGGCCCCCCCACCCCCACGCCTGTTACGACACTGGCTAACACGCCAATCATCCCCCCCAATGAAAAATATTTTTCTACGCCACTGATTATTATCATTATTTTTTTATACTTTATTATCTCATTTGGAATATGTACATATTGTTCATTTTATATAGCATTTGGGTTATTTTACATGAATAATCATTAAACTTACCAACTGTGGTTCCAAGATGCAGCAAAATCAATCAAAAGGAGAAGCTGGAAAAGTATAAACAATGCTGCTCCAATGAAACCTATGTACATACCAATTTCAGCAAACTCCCCAATATTAGGCAAGTAGAATGCTGCCACTATCAAACCACATAACAGCAATGTCTTGAAAAACCAAAACCTGTCTCCAAACATAAGTAATTAAAATATTTCAATTAGTTGATAAATTTGAAAGGAGTGGTATTATGCTTAGTGGTTAAGATGCTTGTTATCAAATCCCAGGGTCATAGCTTAAATCTTCAATTAAGTCACTATTATTCTTTTTTTTAAAACTACAACCCTAGTAACTCATTGTAACACTATTATGAATAAGGCATCATTCCATTATGTAATAGGCATATTTTGATGGGATTTACCAGTAAAAAGTTAAGTGTTCTTTAGTACTATTCATACTGGTATCGAATTGCCATGGTGGAAACATTCACATTCCTGATGATGACATATGTCGAAATATTGAATCCCGACACGATGGCTTCATTCCGATACTTGGAGTATGTATTATACAGTACTATCTTATCGGAAACATTCACAGTAATAACAATAAGAAATGAATGGTAATAACAGGTAAATAAAATGAATGGTAATAACAGGTAAATAAAATAAAGGTAGGTTTATGTTTAAACAATCACTCACTCCATTGGTTTTAGAATGAATCCAGAGGATATTTATGATTATTATGATAATATGTTTATTATGATTATTGATAATATGTTAAGAAATATATATTTAAAAAAAAAGTATACAGTATTTAAATTGAAATGAGGTTAAACATAATATTACTTTTTTTATTCATGACATTTAATATTTATGATATTGACTTTCATAATAAAAAAAATATTGTACATGTAAATGATTTGAATAAAGGTGTGCTACCCACACAAGAGAGAGAGAGAAAAAAAAACAAACAATCACTCACCCATTGTGAAGCAGTCCTCTAGCAGACTTGCTTGTTTTTACTCCATAAGTGGCTATCATAAAAAACATGAAGAATAAAGCCATGGAGAAGCATATCCGGTATACGGCTAAATATTCCAGCAGGATTTTGCAGTTGTCCCCGGCTTTGATTTTCACACAGAAATCCTTAAAACCACTTCGCTATAGCCACAAAATTGTAGCAAAAAAAAAAAAAAAAAAAAAGATTTTGATGATATGATAACAAACTATAAGGTGAGCGATCTGAAATACACATAATTTGGTCTTGTCTAGACAACATTATATACTGACTACATAGATTCCAGGCATTTGATTGGTTGAAAGCCAGGCAATAGTTTCAGCCATGCCCGGCTATCAGGGAATAGTCTTTTTCTTTTGCCCTCTTGCAAGTCGCGATGTAGAAAATTATGCTAAGCCTATTGTTGAGGGCGCGCTTCTACTAATTTGATCAAATCTGACCTAATTTGATGACCTGGAAGCGGCTGACGATCGCTCTGCCGCACACTGTACTGCTAGGAATAACCAGATTTGAACTGGTTGATGAACATGAGAAGTGTAGTAAGTGAGTTCAGCAGCCAGTGATAATACAAAAAAACAAGTTAAGTATGCCGTTCGATTATTTGAAGAGTATCTTGAAGCCACAACCTGTGATTTATGGAGCCTCGATGAATTGATGAAGTTCTACTACTAGGCCTAACCTAGGCTTCTTCACGACTCAAGAACAGGGAATCTATGTAGTGGTATATAAAACAAATATTTCCTGGGATTTTAATTGTGTCATAGTTCAAATTATAGCCCTTGGTGGTCTGAAGGCTGTACTTTCATCTCGGGACATAGTACAGTCTCCAGATCACCTCAGGCTATAATTTGAACCATGCCCCTCAACCCAGTAAATATTTGTATAATAAAGTAAAATATTAAAGCTCGGTTTGTTTACTTCTATGTTTCTTTTTGTTGCACTTGTGGTGGTTGACGCAACAGTTGTAGACTTTTTGGACTTCAACAAGGGAGCAGAGAATGTTGAACTTTGTGCTGGTTTGCCGTTGTGTGTTATGCAGGGAGTACTAGGGGTAATAATGCTAATTAGCGCCTTTGACGATTGATTGGTACGACATGCTATATAAATCTTTAGCACTATTACTAGACTACATTATGGGCGGCATACTGTATAAACAATGGATATGTTTGGTCTGAAGGCAAAACAATGACACAAAAAAAATAAAGCAAATCATGTTAAAATGCTATGTTTTATGGTGATTAACATTCCTTGATATTAAGGATGGTCTTTTGCTAAAGATTTTGTCTCTGAAAATAAGATGAGTACTGTTTGTTCTAAGTTGGGAGAATTATCTATAGTATTTGATTAGCAAATAACAACCTTCAACAGAAATATCATCTCATTGGGAATCAATTTTAATATATATAACCATACACTATACAGGAAAATAAAAAAAAAATTGCACATTCTATAATTTCCAGTTTCTCAGTAGCCAAGTTTTAGAATTGCCTGGTAAGTTATTCAATTTGATTGGAAGAAAGCCAATAGTTATGATATAATTACATTCGTTTATACAAAACCCCCTAGCAGCCTGTGGAAGCAATCTGCAATCTTCACATAAGTTAATTATTAATTTGACTTAATTAAAAAAAAATAATGGCACTTTACATACTAATATTTACAGTATCAGTACAGTACAGTACATGACCATACATTTAGTTAGTTATCATGCCATAAACAAAATACAAATAGCTGAAGGCCTACCGATAATTTCACAAGTCAAAAAATAAACACAAATAAAAATTCCATGCAATCAGAATTTTACATTGGCCTAAAAAATATACTGTAAATGCTCAAGATTTGGAGGCTTACTCGAGAACGGCGTTTAAAAAAATAAATATTGCCATGGTGCTTTCCATGCCCGTTCCCATGACACCTATCTCACATACAATTTTTTAAGCTGTTTTGACCATGTAACAAAACAATTTTAATAACACGCGCCTGTACAAAAGGCAAAAATGGACAGACTGAGTGTGCTGCACTGCTTGGATGATTTCATTATGCGAAAAGGGTATAAAATGCACTTCATTAAACATCAATTACTCATGAACACTATTAAAAATCAATTCCTAATCTATTCATAATACTGTAAAAATAAGGTAAGTCCAATATCAAGCGTATTTATTTATTTATTGAATTTTAAAAGTCTTTGATCCAGCAGCAGGTACTGTATCATATTTTCATCAGTTCACAAAATGGAACACGCCTGAATCCCTGGGCCGGCTGTGAGTTCGGTCAATTTTCCTTCTTGAAAGCCTTGGAAAGAATGCAAATATGACGGAAGAAAATTTTATCCAATAAGATTATTTTTAATATATAACTGATTGCAAGAAAATTGCCTTTCTGTTGCAGTTTTAACCTAAGCAAATGGATTGGTATATGCAAAGTTATGACGTAAATAAACGACTCCTCGCAACCCGGCTCAAATCCCGCTGAATTAATCCCGTAATTCAACCCAAAAATGATGGAGCTAAATATTTAAAAACAAATATTTTGTAAATTGTTTACAATAGCTATATTTATAACCTTCTATAAAACCGTTTCAACCTAAGTTATCCGACCTCTAGTTTTTGAGTTTTTGTAGTAAAATCAGTCTATGTTTTTGAAAAAATGCTAATGGTTAAGAGATAGGGTGATTTTCACGGTGGTGCATTTGCAGTTAAATGGACCAGACAAATTGATATGTATTCCTTTAGTTTGGTAGGCCTTTTATAGGTCCTACGTCATCGTAAATAAATGTTTATAAAGAAATGTTTGTGTCTTCATTGTGTTATTTTTAACACTGCATACATTGTATTTAAAACCCTGTTTTTCTCAAAGTGTTTCATTACACACTGTAATATACTGTACTCTCAATTAAGCTCAGGAGCTTATTCAAAAGCGGACCTACAGTAGCTAAAAAAATCAGGTTTGGTGCGGTGCTTATTAGAGCATTTACAGTATTTAGGCTACAAATCTGTTAATGTGAATTCCACTTCCTTTGGTGACATACTGTCAGGAAACGTAAGTTTCCTGTTAAATAGCTTCCAGAACATTCAAAATAATAATTTTTAAAAAACCAAACAAACAAATCCAATTTAAAATTGTTAATAAATGTTTAAAAGGGTTTATTTAGATCTTATGTATTCATACATTTGCTGCTTCGACAAAATATTAATTTTTGTTTTGGAGGTTTTTGAATAAAATTGAAATTGAAATCGATTAGTACAGTATCACAATGACAAGACATTTTATCAAAGTGCACATTGTGAGATTAGGCCTATTCAGTTTAACTGAATCAAATAAAACTATGTTAGGCCAAAAAAAAAAAAAAATGTTCTGGTTCTGATCAGACTAAAGTTACAGAATTGATGCGGCGATGCGGTTTTTTTTTTTTTCTATTTAAAAATTTTTTTTTTTAAAAGCATGGAAAGTACAGAAAAGGTGTTTTTAGTATCTTTTTTATGTTCTGCTAATGCTATACATTGTTGTCCTTCCACATTCCACATCCTCGATTTCGCTTCATTTGCCAAGGGGACCCCGTCTTAATTCATCATCATTATAAGCATTAATAGGTACGCTTTGAAAAAATCCGACGGCCGAAGATCCCACCATAGCCGTGACTTTCTTCGATCCCGGGTGCAATGTTGCTCACCACTGCTTGGGGAGGACGATAAACTTTCATCACATACTTACACGCTCAGCAAACTCGCCAAGCTACGGTATCGCACGATAAAATGCCAAAAGGTCCCTTATATTACAGTGTATAAGCCGCACCTGTGTATAAGCCGCACCCCTAATTAGGACGCGAAAAATCATGATTTTTTTGTCACCTAGCTGTGTATAAGCCGCATATATTTTATAAGCCCCAAACCGTTCCCATATTTTTAATTTTTAAATTATTTTGAAAAACTGACATTATTTACAAATGTTACAAACTTCATCTTTTTCTATTGAAAAAGATGACAAACAACTGGAAATGCGTGTAAACTTCAGGCTACCGCAATGAAACACCGTATTCCTGCTCTGGGGAAATCCCCATTTCATGCTAGACGGTCGCGCTACGTTAAAATTTCAACATAAGTTTAGTTTATTAAAATCTAAGAAAATAAAATACTTATTGAGTATATTCATCTATTTTAAACAATCATTCTATTATTATGGTGAATAATAACAGTCGTATTAAGCTTAATATATTGGTAATTCTAGGCCTAAGTCATGACTACTCACAGCCCATTGTGCGAAACATGCACTCATCACGCACTACGTTTTATAAACAAAAACAGAAGTGGAGAAAATATCGTGCGATACAAAGTTTACGCATGCGCAGATGAAGAACTTGAAGATGAAGAAAACTTGTGTTTTTATAGCATAAATTAATTTCACAAGTTTTTATTCTGAAAGTTTATCGGATCATCCTCTCTATAACGGTACAAGCCACAGGGAGCCCAGAACATCAAACAGCAAGTTTCAACAACCAGCCCACGTGTGTTTTGTTGCGACATTCGTAAATGAAGCTGCTCACGTGACCCCAGGACCAAATTCGCAAAAAGTAGTTTGGTAGTTTTCGAACAGCGTGTTTCAAAATTGTTTATGAATGAATGATTTAGACAACCCAAACTAATGCTTGAATTGAGTATAATTACAAATACTAGGCCTACAAACGGGTCCTACAATAGGCTAATTAATTGGGTTAGCAATGGCCTAACCTAGAATGGATAAGCTGCACCCCAAAATTCGTGATAGGTGGCGATGTCGTATGTCCGGTGAAAAATTTAAAAAAATTGTCGCGCAGTGTCTAAATCGATGCGCACGCTGACCAGAGACAGAACATTTATTTTTTTTGGCCTTAATGGTATAGTACTGGCTGCAACTTGGGATTCGATTCAACACTAGGCACTAAATTCAAGCTTGGTGGTCTAGTTCTGGAGTGGTTAGATACCCACCTAAAATCACTTACAAGATTTCTTTTTTCAGAAGTACTTTGGAACATACTAAGCATTCAGTACAGTACTGTAACTCATAAGGTAGGGCAAAACAAACAAAAAAACAAATCTTAGATCAATAAATAAAGAATTCAAACTGTGTGTGTCAAATACTTAGAGATCTAGAAGGTGATACAGCTTCTGAAAGACATTATACACAATATGGTGTATGGATGCCAAGAGGTAAACTGTAAGGCATTCCATAATGTTAGGGCGGCAAATGCAAAATGAAATATTCATTTTAATAGAAATATAGAAATTAATATGGTGCTTTTGCCAATGAATACAAAGCACTTGGATATGTGGACTAGGAACTCGATCAATGGCTAATCATAATCCTATAATAACAAACAACAATAATCCTATAGCAACAAACTTACTTGCATTAATTTATCTTCTACTGTTTCCGACAGAAGGGCACAAGATAACCCAGTACCCAAGAACAGGTAAAGAGTGTACATAAGCCGTGAAGTAGTTGATTCTCTTACGGGTGGAAAACCTGGAAAAGCACATCCTGACGATCCGAAACAACAGTTCAACTTGGATAAAAAAACAAATTTTTAAAAATGTTATAAATTTCATTTTAAAAATTACATAAATTGGTCTTTGACTGTAACAGTACATTAACAATTACAAATGAAAACTAAACAAAAAAATATATGTGACAAATAAGGAGCACAATAGAGAGCAGCTTAGCTCAGTCGGCTAATCTGGTGGTAGTCACTGTGGGCGCGCTGAACCGTGGAGATCTCTAGGTCCCCAGTTCAATTCCCATTGCTGCCTCTCCTTGTGTTTCAGCTAGAGGGCTGAAATACAAGTTACAATAGCATGTGTTGGTGTTTTCACTGAATACATCCAATCCAATCCAATCGGCCAATTGATATCATTACCATACCATAACTGACAAAACATTTAAATTGCACAATAATGACAAAAGCTTTTAAATAATATTTTTTATAAACAGTACTGCATGTCATAAAATGTGAATAAAATATCATTTGTATTAAAATATAATATGTGGCAAAGACAAGCCAAACCTGTCACTCGTCGCAAATCGTGTTTCAGAGAAAATGGCCAAAACATGCTGGAATGTCAAATTTTAAAAAATCTATTTTATTGCTTTAAACTAACCTTTATACATCTACACACCATCCTATGCTGTTATTTTCACCATTTTCAATGTTAAAACAACACTTTTTAAGGACTTAAAGATAGTTTCTGCATGAGAAATGCCTGAAATCATAAACTTTAATGGCTGATTTCTCATATATTGTTCTTTAAACAACTGTGTGGTTAAACGCTTGTAACTTCATCAGGAAATGTCGGATTTGAATGATTTTTTTTTCATTTTGTAGCTATTATTTCACGCTCTAACACTGTATTAATAACTCAAAATCGATTTTTGCGACGAGTGACTGGTTTGGCTTGTCTTTGCCACATATATTATATTTTTTATATTTTTAAATATGCAATGAATTGTTTCTGCTCTGCTTTTCCTTTTTAAAATTGGACAATAAAACTAAATGAAATGAATATACATAAAAGCATGTATTTACAAATTTCTATTAAAACTAGATTTGAACTCGTCACTGAGGACGAGTTTGGTGATCCGCCGCACTTTGACCCTCAGGAAGCGTGTACGCTGCAGATTGAAAAGTTTGAAAATGCTCAAAATGGCCTAAAATATGCTCTAATTAGTTTTAAAAAAAGAGAATTTTGAGCATTTTAAAAGATTTACGCATGTGTATGTGCACGTCTTAACGCCTGTGCGCAAGGTAATGGCACAAAAATTGACTCCTGATATGAATACAGTGTCAGGAACCCAAAATATGTAACAAAACGTAATTTCCAGCTTCAGTACATGCTGTGCGCGTGGAAATTAGCGTACTGCGTGTAAATTATGAAAAGTTTTGGAATGCTGAAGATGACCTGAAATGTGCTTTAAATTATCTGAAAAGTGATATTGAGAATTTTCAAATTTTAACGCACACATAAGCGCATGTCGCGACGTGCGCGTGGATGCTAATGGCACACAAAATTGAACCTTGTCAAGTGCAGTGGCGCACCGTAGGGTAAATTGCAGGGTATTAGCATATCTAGGATTTGTGAGAGGCGCGCACACCCCCACTGAAAAAAATACTCGCCCATCCATTAGTCCCCCCCAACCAACAAATACCAATTTTGAGATATCGTGAACAAGAAATGGGGAGAAAGAAGAATAAGAAAAAAAGATGATGATGATGATCATCATCATCATCATCCTGACAATAACGAGGTGATCCGCACTAGATGCGTATCACCAATGATTGAATTATTTAACTGCGATGAGCTGCTTTCAGTTTGCACAGACTTGTTAATGTTGCAATGAGCTACAGAGGAAAGACCAACTCCAGTAGGCCTACACATCCACATAGTTAACTTCCTGGCAAGGAGGAGGCTTCCTTCTGAGGACAGTGGATGATTGCTGGCAGCACATTCAACACATTTACAGTATAACTATAATTATGTAGGATGACAGCGTCGTACGACACAGCCCGACACGTTTTGTTGTCACGTCGGGTCTGTGTAAGTTAAACGCAGACGCGATGGTGTGTGTCGGGGGCATGTAAACATGTTTAATATTTCTCACGACGGCTTAAGACTGTCCCCGACGATAAATCGGGTCGGACTGCGTCGGCTGACGCTGTCTGAGTTGGCCTTAAGGCTTGCACTGGGAATATATCTTCCGCGCAAAAATTAGGTCTAGAAATCCTTCCGCGCTTCTGGAAAATAAGGGCCAAATTCTATGCAGATCTTGCAGGAAATTAGGCTTTGACATGAGGCCTTAAAAAAATTTGTTTGTTTGCCCTTTAATGCTGGAAATTGTATAGGAGGGGCGGACACAAAAACGTTTTTTTTTAGTTAAATTCTTTTTATCCTGTCACCAAAATTAACATATTAAATCGCAAAGCTTGCAATTGAACCTGTCTCACTATTTGTTTTTCAAAGGGTATTCATCAGACTAAATAAAAATAACCCATAATCAATATTAACATTGTAACTCCTGATTGTGTATTTGATATAATCAATAGCTTTTCAAATAACAAAGCTTCAGGCTTGGATGGTTTTGATGTTAAGCTTTTAAAATTAGCTGGTCCCATTGTATGTCACTCAATAAATTACATAATAAACTTGTCATTTATTACAGCAAAATTTCCTTCTGAATGGAAAACTGCTAAAGTTACCCCAGTGTTCAAAGGAGGCGATACATCCGACGTCGGAAATTACAGACCAATTTCTGTATTGCCTATAGTTTCAAAGATAATTGAAAGAATAGTACACAACAAACTTTATTACCACTTGTCAGAAAACAATATATTAAGTCCTTGCCAATCTGGTTTTAGACGTTATCATTCAACTAATACGACACTCATTGATTTTTCTGACTACATTCTAAAAAATATAAACGAAGGTAATGTTACAGCTGCTATATTTTTAGATTTGCAAAAGGCTTTTGATACCATAAATCATAACCTGCTTTTTAGTAAATTAGAACAATATGGTGTACATGATAATGCCCTGAATTGGTTTATATCTTACTTATCAGGAAGATCTCAAGTTGTAAATATTAAATCATCTTTATCTTATTCTAAACCTATTACTGTTGGTATACCACAAGGGTCTATTCTTGGGCCATTGCTTTTTATAATTTACGTAAATTCTTTGCCAGATGTGATAAATAGTAAATGTATCATGTATGCAGATGATACAACCATATTGTGTTCCTC